TCGCAGAGGAGCTTGTGCTTGAGGAGGGTGCCTTCTCTGCACCCGGCGGTGAAGTACTCGATAGCCTGCACCTCGTGCACGCCCTCGCAGGAGTTCCGAAGCTCGGCCCAGCGCGTGAGGTAGTCGCCTGTTGACTCGTCGGGGCCTTGGACGCACAAGGAGAGCTGGCGAGGCTTGGGAGGTCGCTTGTACGTGCTTGTGAAGTTGCGGACGAAGGCTTCGGTGAAGTCGACCCAACTGTTGATGCTGCGGGGTTTCAGACTGTTCAACCATGTCCGGGCCATGCCCTGGAGCATGAGTGGAACATACTTCATGGCAACTCGCTTGTTGCCGTTCGCTATGTTGACGGCCGTGGAGTAGTCAACTAGCCAGTCTTCCGGCTTCACGGAGCCGGTATACTTGGGCGTGTCTCAGGGGAGCGTGAACCCTTTGGGGAAGGGCTCGTCTCGGATGCAAGGTCCGAAGCAGGGTGGACCCAACTCGTCTTCTTCTTCCAGCGCCAGGGATCAGTGGAGTCGGTCGATCTGATGGCGGGCGTCGTTCTCTCCAACTCCCTCTCGGTGGCCAAGGCGGCCACCGAGAGTCGGATGCTCAACGGGCGGCGGGGAGACTCGTATTTCTCTTCGTGGTGGAGAAGGCAGATAGTCGCCCCGCCGTTCCACTGCTCTCGGGCGGCCGTCTTGGTCGCGCTCGATGGTGATGCGAGTCCGACTGTGGCTGACAGCCGGCTCTTTGTCTTTTCTTCCGCGGACTCCGCCAGTCGGCGTCCGAGACGTCACGCCTTGATCTCAGCGGGGAGGCAGGTCGTCGTTCGGTTGATGCGGCGCCTCCGTGCGGCCGCCGGCTGCATTCTGCGCGACAGCTGCGTCAAGGAGCTACTGGACTCGCTCCGTCATCATGCAGCGCTCTTCGCCTTCAAAGTTTTTCAGCTCGTCAGTCGCCGCCTGGGCGGCGTGGATGTTCTCCACAGGCGTGGCATATACGGGGCGATTGGCCCCGAACAGGTTGGCGATGGCCACGCCGCGCTGCCGGATCGCGCCTAGGCGGCTAGGCCCAGTCGGAGCCGGCGAGCCGCCCATAGCGTGATCCATCTCGCGCTGGTAGGCTTCTGACAAGCGCCTCATGCTTGCCAGCTTCTTTGCGCCTTTGATGATCTGAAGGCGGCGTGCCTCTAGCGTCTTGGCGTCAGCGTCCTCCGGAATAGGCGCGGTCGGGTCTTGCAGAGCTGCGTCGAGTGGGTCATGGGCTGCCTCACCAGAACGCTCATCGTGACTGATGACGAGCACCTCCATTACGGCGCTTCCGCCGCTCTCCTCATGAGGGAGCGGCTCGTCGTATACCACCACATTGGTGGGGAACGCGTCGAGCGACGCGGCGTCGGAGTCGACCAGCATCGGGTCGGTGGAGCCTACGGACTCCAAGTCCACGGCAGGCTCGCCGGTGACGTGGAGTTGGTCGAGGAGGCCCGCGAGGAGGTTCTCGGGGCCGCCCGTGCCTGCGTCGGATGCAGGCTCATCGGAGAGGCGAACCTCGCCGACAAGTTTGGCGAGGCAGCTGGCTGCGCAGGCGGCCTCAGCACCGCGCAGCGCGTCGATGCAGACTCCGTCTGGCGAGCCTGGCTGGCTGCGCTCGCCAGGAAGGAAAAGGGTTCCCGTCCAGAACATATCTCCGGACGACGGTGCACCTTGCCCCATGGTGGGCGCCAAATGTCGGGGGTTGGGTGCAACATATGACAAAGGATGGCTTATCATGGTGGGGGCGAGTAGAACATCCCCGATGCCTGGAAACGGGATGAGGCGAAGACATGCACACCGGCGGATCTTACCCAGTTTTAGGGCTCTCCGAGGAGATAACACCCCTACTGCTGCTCTGCGGGGTCTTCGCATGATCACTAAGGCAAAGTGAGTACAAGGTTGCTCCTTGAGCTGTTTCTGGAGGTAGGAGAAGGCAAGGCTGGCTCTCTCCTTCCTATATGATCTGGTCTGGTGCTAATGGATTCGAACCCTTTGCATGGGTGCCCTGGGGGGTTTATATAGGCCTACCCCCCAGGGGTACAATGGTAAAACCGGCTGGGTGCGGGTCCCAGTCGTCTGTCCCTCAGGCCGCCGTCTTCTCCGCCGACTTGCCTGGTATGAGGCCGACAGCCCTTGTCCGCCGCGGGTGGGTCTTGCCGGCTGCAGATTACTGTAGCCGTGCTTCTAATGACGCTGGCTCGGTCATGGGGTCATGGCAACAGTGCCGCCGCCTGACGGGCGATCACTGTTGCCATTCCCCGTCGTGTCTGGTTAATGGCGTGTGGGGCCCGTGGGAGGGGCCAGCCGACTCCCAGGGGCCGACTCCCAACAGGTACGTCTCGTGGCACTCTTGCCGTCTTTAGTACTCCCGTTGACTGGTGGGACCCACCGTCTCTGGGTCGTACAGACAGGCCGTCGTGGGCACAGGGCTCCGGCCCCAAGGGCTGATGTCAGGGCCGGCATGGCAATAGTGTCGCGCCGGACGGAGATCTCTGTCGGTACGGCGCACTGTGGCCATGCCTGCCCTTAATTAACATGGTGGTTGGAGTTACAGGCCGACTCCCTATAGCCGGCCTCTCCGGAAGTCGCCGGCCAGGAGTCGGCTTATCTTGGAGTCGCCACAGGGACTCGGCTCGTCTTGGAGTCGCTTCTGGGACTCGGCTCGTCTTGGAGTCGCCTCTGGAACTCGGCTCGTCTTGGAGTCGCCTCTGGGACTCGGCTCGTCTTGGAGTCGCCTCTGGGACTCGAGGGGCGCAGCTTGCCCCGATGTCTTGAAAGGTTCTGAGACTCGGGTTAGCCTACCCATGGCCCATTACTCCGACAATCACCGGGGGAGGACTCCCTTCACGTGAATATATTACTCAAAGTGGCCAATATGCCAGGAGAGTGATCCAGTATATAAGGGAAACCGGATCGAAAACCTAAAACAAGTTGACCCGTCTATAAGGGAAACCGGGCCGAAAACCGTACAACAAGGTTACAAGGAGAAGAGAAGAACAAGACACCCAAGAAGGGCGGGACCTAGCTAGCAGACTAAAAGGACCATCACCACGGCAGATACAAGTAGTTATGGGGTGTTGTCGAGGGATCACAATACTGAGACTTTGCGAGGAACCTAACGCATCGCATTGCGTGCATACCGAGCCCCACGGCACAACTCAGGAGCAACCACAACCAACGAGTGCGAAAAGCACGAACCTTGACTGGGTGCCCCGCCACGGAAGATCAGAACAATTAACAATTTGGGGAGACATCTAGCGCCATCAAAGAGCAAAGATGAACCAAGACATCACCAAGAGCACGACGCTCGCCGCAATACATCGGCCGCCAAGGGAGAGTCAGAGCATGCATAACGAGACACCTTCACGAGGGGGAAACAGATGGCCGCCCTGCGGCGCCAAAGGCACCGCCACCAAACCCCAGAGAACACCACCAAACAACCACCGTCGACTCCAAGCCAGTCGCACACCACCATTGGACCCTCCGACTGTTCCCAACTTGGCCACACCACCACCACCACCAAACGCTGCACCCTCAACCACACACAAGCATAGAAGCTGCCGTTTGGGTCTCCAAGATGACGCCTCTAGGGAGTTAGTGCCGACAAGGACACAAGACCGTCATCCGATCCGACAAGCCAGATCTTAGGTTTTCACCCGGATACCGCAAAACAAAGTACTGCAGGTGCTGGAGCTCCACAACGACACCTCCTACGAGGAAAACGATGTCCACAGACACCATTACCGCTGACATCGACATAGTCGATGCAAGGTTCTCACCCGGAGTTTGAGCACATACTTACAGCAAGACGGCAGCTGACCACCACCACCATCGGGCCCCTCCGAGACGAAGAAGCGCATGAATTGCCGCAGCCAACCGCACCCCGCGGAGATCGCATACGGCCAAACATCAACACTAGGCACTGGAACCACCAATGGCAATCCGAACGCAGGGCCACCGGACGCAGCGCGACCCGCCAAACCTAACCGAGCACCATGCCGGCGAGGAGCAGAGAAGCGCTGCTCGAGGCCAGGAACCACCATGGTCCCGGGCTGCAGCCAAAACATCAGGAGCACCAACACGCCCCACGCGCGCCACCGTGCACCTGCCGGAGACCAGATCTGAAACGCCATAGCACTGACCAAAGGCAGGGGAGATCGAAAACCGGCGCAGCAGTCCACCAAGCACCAACAACAACACCCACCGCCACCAGCCTCCACCACTCCCGCCTCCACCACCCAGCAACACCACCTCCCCGGCTGGCCCCACCTGGCGGCCCAGCCAACACCGGCTGGATCTGGGAAGGAAGCCCCAGATCCGCCCCCGCCCCAGACCAGTCAGCGCCCGAGCAAGCAGCGACGGGCCGCCACACACAGGGGGCCGGGACTGGCCGGCAGGGACACAGGGACGACGTCGGCGAGCGCTGCCTCCACCCGCCTCCGAGGCCGGGCGCCTGATCCAATCTGACGCATCCTGTCCTCCCTCCTCTGACGAAACGGTGGCCACGCGGTGGAGGAGAAGCGCCTCGCCGCCACCATCCCCGGAGCGCGCGCGGCCTTTGCCGGCGGCCTCCTCAGGTGGCGGCGAGACTGGGAGCGAGGGAGGGAGGGGAGCGGCGGTGCGATCAGGGGCGCCCCCCGTGTCGCCAGCATGACAATCATATCTGATATAACACTCAGATCAGACGAAGGTTACATTGACATGGAGATTTTGATGCATGAAAATGCAAATGCAGCATACGCCTTCCCCACTCTTTCAACACTTTGTACATGATCGGTTTCAAGTAAAGCACAAGAAAATAAATTACGTACAATCATATTCTGAGACGATGACCTCCACTGCGTTTACACTCTGACTATACACATTCCATGATATCTGAAGCCATTCTCCAATGGTCCAGCAGAGGTTCAGTCGTTCCTTCATTTCAGCCCTGTCTCGTGCTACGTCTGAATGGTGAACCTACCCACATTTAATTAAATTAAGTGATCATTTTGCTATCTCCTCGAGCCTTCTGAGTATCTCCTTGGTGTTGGGCCTCAGCGACGGCGAAGGGCTGCAGCAGGCCGTGGCCAGCTCGAAGAAGGCGTTGAGCTTCCTCTCGTTGCCCGACTTCCTGCTCTGCCTGACGAGGTCTGAGTTGAAGGCGTCGGAGATCTTCCTCTCGAGCACCAGGTTCTTGAACGACGCCGGCAAGAAGATGTCGCGGGAGCTCGGCGCGCGGTCGTCGCCGCCGGCCGGCTCCTTCTGCGCGAGCATCTCCAGCAGCACCACGCCCAGGCTGTACACGTCGGTCTCCCTGGTGGCGTCCCTCATCTTGACCAGCTCCGGCGCCTTGTACCCCTGCGCCGCCGACGCCTCCAGCATCTCGTGGGCGCCGCCGGTGTTGAGCAGGAGGTAGAGGCCGTAGTCCGAGACCCTGCACTCGTAGCTGGCGTCGAGCAGGACGTTGCTTGTCTTGAGGTTGCCGTGGATGATCGGCTTCTCCATCCCCGTGTGCAGGTGGTCGAGCCCCTTGGCGATGCAGACGGAGAGCTTGCAGATTAGGCTCCACCTTTGCGAGTCGGCGATCCCCTCTGTAATGAGATAGACACGCAGTGTATGTATAATTAAGGCACAACAATGGCTTTGATTTCTTTGAAACAAGGCACGACAATGACTATGTTTACGACTGTTTGACAGACGACTATGCAGCACTAACCACTGTTTTAACTGAGGAACACACAGGACTGATTGTATGCCCCCAATGATCACGATTGCGAAGGGTGATCTAATGACCTTGTCTAACATTAATGGCCAGGACCATTGCTTCAGGACAGTGTCATGTGAGGTTTCAGGCTAACAACCAAAGCAGAGAAATGTTTCCTGCCTGGCCGCAGTAGGCAATAATAATAAGAACCAGCGAAGATGGACTGGAAGTAAGAAATGAACTCTGTACCGTGACGGAACATAACTATCTGTGTAGCACATTCCACATTGCCTCAAAAGTTAAAACTGATTATCGAAAAAAGGAAGTTGAAACTGATGGCCGAAATGATTCTTGTTTTGGGGAAGCTGCTGATCTGCCTTTTTGTAGTCTTCGAACTAGCTTGGCAACTACGCCATGCTTTTCCCTTTGTTATAAGAATTTTTAAATTCACAAGCTTATGGTGTTTCATGTGTGATCTCCTCGCAACAAATAGAATAAGAAAAGTTTCATTTGCAGTGTGGACTCATGTGCGCTTTTGACGTAGCAAAATTGTGCGTTTCTACGTACGAATCAGGATGAACATGTCGCCCAATTCTCAGGAGCATTTTTGTGATTTCTTGCTGGGAAACGGCAACCAAAGCAAGAGTGGGTGATGCGCACTGACCTTGCAAGAAGCGGTGGAGCGAGCCGGCGGCGTAGAAGGGGTGCACGAGCAGCTTCTCGCCCCTCGGCCCGACGTACACGGCGCGGAGCGGCACGAGGTTCGGGTGGCTGACCGCGCCGATCCGGCGCGCGGCGGCGGCGGCCTCGTCGGCGCCCACGGCGCACGCGGGCCGCACGAACCGGAGCAGCACGGCCGTCTCCCCGGAGCGCATCGCGGCGCGGTACAGCGTGCTGTGCGACGACTTGGCCACCACCTCCCCGGGCGCCTCGAGGATGGCGGCCACCGACAGGCCCTCGCCGCCGGGGAACTTGACGAGCGCGTCGGCGCCGCCGTACCCACCGTGGCCGTGCGGGCCGCCGACCCCGAGGCGGTCGGCGATGGGGCCGAGGTAGGGCTGCAGCGCGCCGAGGCGGTCGGCGATGGGCGCGAAGTAGGGCAGCAGGGTGCTCCGGGTGGCATTGCCGCGGCGGCGGAGGCAGCCCGGGACGCGGAACGGGAGGCGGTCGAGGCGGAGGCCGCGGAGGCGCGGGCGGAGGTAGCGGTAGAGCAGGTAGGCGAGGAGGACGGCGAGGATGGGGAGCAGGATGGAGTTGGTCCGCCCCTTGTGCACCGGCTCGTCCGAGGCCCCGTCCGCCGCCGCCGCCGGCTCCATGTACGTACCTGGTGTGTGCCTGCGCCCGGTTCTTGGAATGAACGGAAAGGCGAAAGCAGCGGTGGTGGGGTTCGTGGCTCGGCTCGCCCAGGATTCGAGGCAAAGCCCCTCGCTTTGGCGTGCGCTTTGCTCAGTTGGCTTGGGTCCGGGGTGGTGGAGCCGTGGAGGAAACTGCCGGGTGGGAACGCCGGGAGGAGGAAAGGAAGGCCGAGCGAGGAGGAGGATGGCTTGAGATTCCTATCGTGTCGAGGTTTTTATCATCAACCAACCGCTGAGCACTGTGGGAGTGTGGCTTGCTTGCAGTGAGTCCAGCTTCCGTCGCGTTTGGGCTTTTTTCTTTTGGAGATTAGCGTTAAAGTGAGGGAGTTGGTAGGTAGAGGACCCTAGGTAGGTGCACTGCGGTGTGCTGTGCATGGCCATTTCCTCCGTTGAGAATCCATGGCGGGCAGGCAGCACAGTGGCAGCGGCAGTTAGGAGGGGTAGGAGTAGGAGGATCGCCGGGACCCTGTGGCCTGGAGTGGAAGGTGCCCTATTACTATCGCGGCAGGGTTGGCCTGGAACAGTGGAGTTGTGGTGCAAACGGGACATACAGATGGGCGGCGAGCGGCGAGGGACCGGCCCCGACGATAGTTTGGTGGCTGCTCTATGGCCGGCTTGCGCCGGATAAAAGTGCTACCGTCCGCGGTTTTAGCACAGTTGTATTTGGTGGCGGGTAATTTTCACTTCTGCCTTTTGAGCTTTGGTGATGGCAAATTTTTAGCTGTGTGGCTGCTTTGGATTCAAAGCTGAGCCCGAGATAATCTGCTACAGCGTGAACAGTACTTTCTTTAAGAAAAATAGGCAAAACATATGATTTTGTTTGCGGTAAATATCATGTAATTTTCTAGGAGCTTGCAAAAAATTGGTGCCGAGATGACTTCAGGAGGAGCCCCGTGAAGAGAAAACACAAAATCGGAGCTCCAAAATGGCCGAAGCTGCTCGAGTTTTCCTAGCTCCGTTTTTGATTCTATTTTTGGATGGAGTTCCTCCCGAAGTTATCTTGGCATGAAAATTTGCAAGCTCATAGGAAATTTCATCATCTTTCACGTAAAAGTATCATATATAATTTTTCAAAATTTTACTTTTTGTTTCGAATTTACTGTTCCTAGGTGAGCTCGGGCCAAGAAACGCGGTTCTCCTTTGTAGTCGACCTGCCGCTTGAACGGCGCTATGTTGGGCATCAATTTTCCTTTTCTCACGCATGTCGACCATCCGAGTAAATACGTTTGGACCCGCTTTCATCATTTAAGAGCATCTACAGCCGGATGTGATTGGTCAGTGACCGGACAGGAGAGAGAAGAAAAAACGTGACCCAACTGGGTCCCTCATATCATCCCTATATGTCCGGGATATCCGTGAACCCTCATATCCATCTCGAATATGAAGAGGATATGAGGGCTCGCAGACGCGCCCGGGCGGGCCCGCACATTCCTTCACATAGGACGCGGCCCCCACCCCGGACCATATTTTCTCTTTCTTTATTCATTTTTTTATTTTTCTTTTTTCATCTCCACCAATCACGTGCAAGTGACCGGGTATATGAGAAAAAAAGTAAGGAGTGTGGCTGCGTGGACGAATAAATAAAGGCTTAAAATGGACATGCTCAATCACTGACCGGGCGCTCCGCTGGCATTTAAAGGGTCATATTTGCTATGTCCGACCGTGAATGCTCTAACGTGATCCTGCATCGAGTGTCATTATGACCCTAAATTAGTGCATTGACCATTATTGTAGCCGACCATATGCCGACTCGGCTAGAGTTGCTCTCAAATCAAACTTGGCGAGGCGACCAAAAATTCTCGTCGAGCGAGGACAACCGGCGTCCAATTCAGAAACCTCCTATCATCATATACGGATCTTAGCAAGAACCATGATTCGTACGTCTACCAGCAAGCGATGGTCCAGAATTCCAGATAAATCTCCATCACGGTTAATTTGGTTGTATGCGGAATGCGTCCCGCAATTTTGGTGGTATGCGCATGCAAATTTGCTCGGAATTATTTTCTCTGTTTGGTTCTCTACTATACCAGTGCTAAGGGCATCTCTAACCGATCCCTTGTAACCGGTTAGTGGAGTAAAATTTTGTGGAGTACTCTCTTCGTTCGGGTTTATTAGGCCTCTTAGCATCACAAGCATGTCCCTTTTTATAAGGCTTCGCTTTGGAAAGGTGCATGCATGCAACCTTTTCATTGTTTGCATTAAAAGCCATTGTTGTTGGTGCCATGGCTGGGAAATTAATACACTTCGTGCGTGCTTTTTCATTGGCTGCATGCATGTGAGAGAGTGCATTCGGAGTGGAATGGAAGAATTAATGTGAGCAAGTTACTATGTGTCTTGGTCTAAGAGAAGTTGTCGTTAGGCCTAATAAACCCGGACGGAGGGAGTATGTTTTTACTCCGGTCCTAAAAGTTTTTCTATATTTACTTCATTGGTTGGCCGCCGAGTAAAATGTTGCGCCCTCTCTCTCGCGTCCGCCCCGCCGCTGCATCTTCGCCGACGCGCTTCCCGCCGGCCCTCTGCCGACCCCGCCGCTACCTCGTTCCATCCCTTGCCCTCCGCCGCCGTTCTGCCCGTCGGCCAGCCCGTTCGGCCCCCGTCGCTGTCGCCGGAATCAAGGTAAAATGCCACCACCGTCGCCATTGTTGATTCGTCCGATTTCTTTCGAGTCTCTTCTTTTTCTAGCGGTCCCCGCATCTCACCTTGCTTGCGCACCGTTACAGGTCACCCGCCGCTCGCCGGTTCGGTCTAAACCACGTCGGCTGGCTTGTGCACCATCACTGCACCCCAAGTGTTCGAAGAATCGCCTAGGTGAGTTTTTGTTGTTTGTTTCTCTTTGAATCGAGCCGTTTGGATTGAACCAAACCATTTGGATTGTAGATGAAGAGGTTGAGGGAGATGGCATTGGAGGACTCGTCGTCGTCCGTAGAGGAAGAAGACGACGATGACTTTGACACTGTTTTAGGTATGATTTACAATGATGATGTTTGGCGGCCGAGGAGAGGGTCAAAATTTGACCTCATACACATCAACCGTGATAGAACGGAGGGCCATTCCAATCATGAGAGATTACTTTGATCCAAATGCCACCTATCCGGAGAAGTACTTTCGCCGACGCTTTTGGATGCACATAATTTTTTTTCTGACCATTGCAAAAGCCATTGAGAGATATGATGACTGGTTCAAGCTCCGGAGAAATGCATGTGGAGAGATCAGTGCAAACCCTCTGATGAAATGCATTGCGCCTGTCCGAGTCTTGGCATATGGGTGTTTCGCCGATGCAATTGATGACTATGTACGCATTGGCGAAGACACATTCTTGGAGGTTGTTCGAAGGTTCGCCAAAGTAGAAGTAGTGATCGCTGTCTTTGACCCGGAGTATTTGAGAGCACCAACCGAGGAAGACACCCAGAGGCTGATGATAGAGAGTGAAACAAGAGGACGGCCAGGGATGCTTGGATCACTTGATTGTACACATTGGACATGGAAGAATTGTCCTGCGGGGTGGAAGAGTTAGTACAAAGGCCACTACAACAATCCAACAATCATTCTTGAGGCATTTGCATCGAAGGATATTTGGATATGGCATTCATTCTTTGGTATGCCTTGCTCTCACAGTGACTTGAATGTGCTATCAAGATCACCTCTGTTTTCTAGGCTTATAAAAGGTGAAGCTCCCGCTTGCGACTACTCGGTCAACGGCCTAGGTTGGAAAAAGCGGTAGGCGTAAGCGAGGCGGTTGGCCTTCGCCTAGTGCCTAGGCGGTGCCTAAGCGCCCTGGGCGGGGCCTAGGCGGTAATATAGTTTTTACTCGTAGTGTATTTGTGATTATTATATGGGTGTTGATATTAGTTGAGGGCATATAAATAAGTTAATTACCATCTACTGCCATTGGAATATAACACGTTTGGCATGTCATTGCAGTATGTGGCATGATTTTCTGCTTGGGTAGGCAATTCCTTGCTTGCCCTGCCTAGACCTTCATTTATTCCCTAGGCGAGGCGTTTGGCCATTGCCTAGCGCCTAGGCGTGCCTAAGCGCCTCCTAGGCACTGCCTTTTCCAACAGACACAACTACTCGATGGGTTACTATCTTGCGGATGGCATCTATCCATCATGGGCCATCTTGGTCAAAAAAATTCCGCGTCCAAAAGGTAATAAAAACACTCACTTTGCCCAATGTCAAGAAGTTGCAAGGAAAGATGTGGAGAGAGCCTTCGGTGTGCTTCACAAGCACTTTACAATTGTTCGTGGCCCTGCCGAGTATTGCAACTCCAAGGTTCTATGGTGAATCATGACTTGTTGCATCATATTGCATAACATGATCATTGAAGACGAGAAAGATTTGGCTGAGAACTTTCGGTACATCATCAACGGGACTCCGGTTGAGTGAGAGCATGATACGAACATGATACTGTAATTTCTTGAGCATCATCGGGAGATCGAGAACCTTCAAGTTCATACTCAGCTCCAACAAGATCTTATTGATCATTATTGCCAACATCTAAGCGAGTCCTAGTTGTTCTATGAACTACTATTTTCTACATTTGAATCATTCGGCGTGTTTAAATTTGAATAATTCTGTTTCTAAACTTTGAATTCGGTTTGTATACTATATTCGTAATTCGGTTGAACATTCAAATTTATGCTTAGTTTCTATATGTGTGCTAATATACAGTTGCAATTTATACTAGAATTGCAAAGTTTAGAAAAACAAAAATTTACCCCGTTATATTTAGCGGATCGGCTAGGTCGGCCAAAACTTAATGGAGTATATATACTCCACTAAGCCTTTTACTCCACTAAATTTTAGGGGATTGGTTAGAGATGCCCTAAGATGTTAGAGCATCTATAACGGATTTGATAAATCTAGCCTCCTATACGTCCGTGGACAGCACCGGACAACCTCTCAAATGTCATACCTAGCAGCCACTATCATCAGACCTGACTCTTAAATTCATCCAA